CTTGGGGTTGTAATTTTATTCCATAGCCTCCTCTTACCCACCAGATCTGTCTTTTTCTCTCCAATGGGGACTTCACACCTTCCTGGTTTTGCTGATTCTTGACTTCTCCTTTTCCTATTAAATCCTCAAGAGCTAAAAGTTAATTAACAACCATTTATCTCCATGACATCAGGGTTTTTTATGTATGCATTGAAGCACGTCTGTATGACACTCCAGGATCAAGGATGATCTCTGCCTCCCCCTTTCAAACACAAAAATAATCAATGCAAATACTTTAATAGTAATGCCATAGCCATTCATCATTCCTGATCTTATCTCTGCTTTGAAGTGAGGATACGTTAAATGACAGTACCGGCCCCCTCAGTAATTACATCCCTTTCATGGCAAGTTTTCTGGTATACAACAGCTGGTTTTATTATTATTAATGCTGCACATTGACTACAAAAAATCTGACCTGAATGGGATAAAACCAAACCAGCTGTTTCATCTCCTTTCATCTATCCACATCTCAAAGGGGGCTTTGTACACCATCGGTTTCCATCGAAGAGCTGAAAAATCACATGTCACAACAGGGGCCTTATGTATGTGGGTCATTTAATAACCGGCAATCCAGAGCCCCGCTGATGGAAATCTCTGCCCAGCCGATCCTCCCTGCTTAATCTCACCAGGCTGAACTGGCACGGGGGAAACAACTCACTCCACTTAATTTCTCCAGTGAATAAATAAACATGTTCAGTTGCAAGAAGCTGCCCTGAAATCCCGATGAGCAGTAGGGCTTGCAGGGAAGGGGTTTTAGTCCCTAAAAGTAGAAAAACAAAATCCACACACCAACGTAGATCCACTTAGATCCAGATTGCTTCTGCACACAACAGAGAAATCATTCTCTTTTTCCATGGCATAAAATGACTTCTCCCATCCCTCTCCTTCACAGCCCCCTTAGTTACCCTGGTTTTGCATACCAGTCACCAAAGGAGACACATCAGTACTGCCCACCAACTCCAGATGATAAAAGCTCGAAAACAGAACAATTTAATTACACATCTCTTTTAATTTAACTTGCAAGGAATAATTAGAGAGCAAAGAAGCCCACACAAAAATGCAAAAACACCCCACAGCCACTCTGTGGACTTCACCAAGGTCACCCATAGCTCCCATTTAATGATCCCAGATGTGATTACTGGTGAAGTCTGAAACCAGAACAATTCAATTTAACATGAAGACATTAAGTACAAACTTAGCTCACTAAGATACTGCAGTCGTTAATTAGTGCATCTTTGACTTGAGCTGACATTGCTAGTACCAGAAGATTACACATGTAAAGTATGTTTTAAGGTATTACTTAGCCATGGCTCCAACATGGCTGACTCTTTTCAGGCTTCCTCTCAAACACCAGTAATTACATTTTAAAAAAAGCCATTCAAACACAACACTTCTTGTTGCCTGAAGAAAAAGAAAAATTAATCATTCAAATAGATGTTTATTTCCAACAGCAATAACTATTAAAATAAGATACAAAGATCACACACGAGCACTATAATACACAGCGCTGTATTCCTTGTATTTTAAGTTGTCACTGTAATAGCTAACAATATGGTACCTCATATGTTCCTTTGGCGAGTTAAGGAATCAGTCAACTTTATAACGAAGCACAGCTGTTAACTGAACATGCTCAGTGTACCAATATTTACACCCTACAAAGAGGCCAACCCTGACTTGGAGCAGTTGGGACTACACCAAGACCCCAACAGCCCACCTGATCTGGGGCTGCCCAGAAGAAATCCAGGCATTGGAAAAAGCCAGAGCACAGCATCCCTGGGCAGTGCTCTGCTCCCACACCAGCTCCAGCAGGACCAGTGAGATTTCGATGGCATTTCACCAGCAGGAGCCTCTGGAGCAGGTGAGTGCAACAAAGCGCAGCTGCAGTGAGGTGTCTTTAATCCGAAAGCACCCTGGCTCAGGGTCGGTAACCCCCAGAACAAGGTGAGAGTGAAGAGCCTGGAGGGAAACGGTGGGATACTGAAGCACAAACACCTAGAAGAAGGCAAGGAATTACCCTAAAGAGCAAATCCCAACTCAAAAGTCCTCTCTCCTCTTGAGCCAAAGACACACAACAAAGGGAACTGCGCCAGTGCTGCAACGCAGCATTTCACTTTGCACAGAAAAGAACAAAGCCTAGTCAAAAATATTCCTGTAAAACTTTTGTTGTGCTGCTCCAAGCCTCAATGCCATGGCTGCTCCGAGTTTTACTCACATCCGAAGGCAGGATTTCCTTCCCTCCTTCCTACACCAAAAGCAAAAGCTAACCTCAGAGTAACAATGGGACGCGCTCATCTGTAAATGAAGAAATTGCATTCACACCATGACAGAACCACATGCCTTCATTAATTAGCATTATCTATACAAAATGCTACTTCAGTAGCAAGTTGGCTTCCTACAACTGGCCTTAATCCAAGAGGCCTGCCACGGAGCAATGCAGAACACACCGCCTGAGATCTCCCCATTTCAGGGCTGAAACTAGCAGCAGCGCTGCTCAGACTTTGGGTGGTATCAGCATCAAGAGTGTCCTTAATGGGACCAAGTTGGAGCACAACAACGTTCTGACTTTTAATTAACATATTTAATGTGCAAGTTATTGTGCAATTATCAGTTGCAGCACTTCTACACAGTCTCTCATCTCAAGTTCAGTGTTAATGGTTCAAGTGATAATTACAAAAAATAACTGTTTTGAAGAAATTATATAATAAACATTATGGAACAACTTCTTTGGGATACTTCTAATGCACTACAAAGATTAATCCCCAAGTAGGGAAAAAATAAAACAAAGCAAAGCACTTGCACAGCCCCATTGGAGTAATTCCTTGGCAGCAACCATTCTTTGCAGAACTAAGGATTTAGTGTTACAACTTGTGGAGTTCTACTAAAGCCTTGGAGACAGCAGAAACTCTCTGAAATACATGTTGTTATAAAAATTTCAATACTATACCTAAAAAGAATGAATAAAAAACTAGTTATGAGCAGCAGATTTGAAATCAATCTGAACTAACCATAAATTTACATCTGACTGCTCAAAAATCCCTTGGCTTCAGCATTATGTGAATAATAAAGTGTGTGATAAACTGCAACCGTATCAGAATACAGAATTAGAAACAAAAACATTTTAAAGTATCATGAAGAGATGTTAAAGTTTTGATGATGGATATAAAGGTAACGGTATAAACAATTTCCAACTTGGCAGAACAACTCAACTCATGCTCTTACGGCATTAAACACCTGGAAGCAGATCTGCACATACCTGTATTGCCACGTAACAAAAATGAAAAGAAATTACAATTTCTAACATCCAATATTTCCACTAGCTAGTTTTATCTCACATACTGTGTAACATGTGAAGGCATCAAGGATGAAATACATGGTCCCTTTTCTGAAGGCAGTAGTACCATTCAAGAGTTACATTTTTATGGCTTTAATACAGTTTTAAAGGGGCATATAATCCAACTCACAACATGCATGTATTTCCCTCCCTAACCTTCTCAAATCCAAGCTACAGCCACAGGAAATGGGGATTAAAGATCAAGGCAGGCTCCAGCATGTGCTGCAAACAAGTGGGCAGAGAAAATGAGGGAAGCCAGACTCCAGCCCTAAGGGTGATCTGTGACAATGTGACACTGCCAGTTTCTTCTGCAGCCCTCTATGCAAATGTAATGAGTACGGGCAGCAAGTTGAGGGAGGTGATTCTTCCCCTCTACTCCACTCACATGAGACCCTACCTGCAGTCCTGCATCCAGTTCTGCAGCCCTGACGCAAGAGGGACATGGACCTGCTCCAGCAAGTCTAGAGGAGGCCATGAACATGACTGGGGACTGAAGCACCTCTCGGATGAAGACAGGCTGAGGGGTTGTTTAGCCTGGAGGTGATAAGGTGCTGGGGGAGATCTTATAAGAGTCTTCCAATACCTAAAGGGGGGATACAAGAAATCTGAAGAAGCACTTTTTACAAGGGCAAATGCAGTCAGGGGGTAATGGCTTTAAACTGACAGAGGGTAAATTTAGATTAGACATTATGAAGAAATTCTTTACTGTGAGGGTTGTGAGGCCCTGGCACAGGTTGCCCACAGAAGCTGTGGCAGTGTTTAAGGCCAGGTTGAATGGGGCTTGGAGCAACCTGGTCTAGTGGAAGGTGTCCCTCCCAGTACAGGGGGGGGTGGAACTTGATAATCTTTTAGGCCCCTTCCAACCCAAACCATCTGTGATTCTATGCAGTGTGAGTCTTGGTATGTCTGTGAGGTCAGAAACACACCTGCCTTGGCTAGTGCTGGCCATCCATGCCAGGGCTGTAACCCTGCTGCAGCAGGGCTGGCTGCAGAGGAGCCAGGTCCCCGCCAGTGCCACCGCCTACCCCACAGCGCTCACTGAGGCAGAGGTGAGTCACCCTTGGCAGGATCCTGCTTCCCTCCTGGGACTATAAATAGAGCCAGAATGACTGGTTCGACAGAGGTATCAGAGCTGGACATCTGAGCCAAGGCAGATGAATCCTACTCATCACCTCTGAGTCATGATTCCTCCACAGTTTCTCACCTGAGGCTGCACAACTATCTAACACCCAGAGGCAGGACGTAAAATTACATCCTGGCCAAGAGTGATCTGTAAAATGCAGGATACAAAATTTGGCAGGTTTATCATAAATAGCCCTTAGGCCTTCTAAAAACAAGCCATGCAGGGAAAACAATTATGGCCAAATAACCGTATGCTTTAACGGGAGTGCAGATCTCTGAAAGTTAACTTCAAAATGGTGCTGTAGGGAAGTATTTATTGCTCCTCAGGGATAAAAATAAAACTATCATTTAACTTGACTGCCAGGGCTGAAGCCTCCCATCACAGCACCAAAGCTGCAATCTCCCCGGCTTATACAGCACTCTAAGCACCACTGCTAACCCCGTATTAGCTCTGGAATCCTAGCAGAGTAAAGTCATAGAATCACAGAATAGTTTGGGTTAGAAGGGACCAGCCTGGCCTTGAATGTCTCCACGGACGAAGCATCCACCGCCTCTCTGGGAAACCTGTGCCAGTGCTTCACCACCCTCAGTGTAAAAAATTTCTTTCTTACTTCCAGCCTGACTCTCCCCTCTTTCACTTTAAAACCACCACCCCTCATCCTGTTGCAACAGGCCCTGCTAAAAAGTCTTCCCCACTTTTCTTACTAGGTTCCTTTTAAGTACTGAAAGGCCACGATAACACCTCCCCAGAGTCTTCTCTTCTCCAGGCTGAACAACCCCAACTCTCTATGGCTTTTCTCATAGGAGAGTGTTCCATCCCTCTGCTCATTTCTGTGGCCCTCCTCTGGACCCTCTCCAACAGGTCAATATCCTTCCTTTGGTAACCAAACTAAGTAGCTGATACTTGACGCTGCAGAAAGAAAGCATTTCTGTTGTAACAATTTTATGCTGTCATTTTAACAAACTATAAATAGATTTAAAAATATTTACTGAAGGCCAGATTCTGCAGAGCTGAATTTACTCAGTGGTGTTATGTAAGAAAGGACTGCAAAACAGAGCCCTAAACAGGGCTGATAACACTGCTCTATAAATAATATATTCCATTTTCATGCATTCCACTTCTACCTGGTTTCTTAAATTGGTAAGACTGCACTGTTATTTATCCCTTCAAAGAGTATCCACAAATCTCAAGTTATCGCATGATGATGAGTTAGAATAAAAACTGGCACTTACGGCCCCTTTACGCCAGTCTTTCCTCTCCTGCTCAAAAGAAGTTTTGCTGTAAACTCAACCAAACGTTATAAAAGGGTGGGTTTAACTGAGACATTCATCCAAGGTGATGAATTAAACTCTCTCTGAAATACCTGTATCATTGCCAGTTAATTTCACTGAAAAGATCTACAGTACCTGAAGTACCTTGGTAAGTGTAATGGATTAGATGCGTCAGGACGAAACGAAGACGATCTGGGTCAGGCATTTCTGCCCGCTGTCCTGCCTGCCTGCGGGGTCCTGCACTCCCAGCTGCCCAGGCTGCTAAAGGAAACTCTTGAATTTACCCTGCCTATCCAAGTGCAGCAAAGTCAGTGGCACCAACAACAACACAGCAGGCTGCTCTTGTATACCCCATTCTGTTCTTAAACTAAACCAGGCCTTGCTTTGAGGCCTACAACCAAACATACTGCAATTCCTTTGCAACACAATGACAACAGTAATAGCAAGAAGAATAATAATCATAACCATAACAATAGCAGAATATATCCAAAGCCAGCAGAAAGGAAGTCAGCAGTAGTAACTCCATGGCATAATTCATTTTTTTCCTCACCCCCAGTTTCCCAACAGTATAGAAGACATGTCTAACAGCACAGGTGGATGCAGCCAGCCAGAGGAAAATGAAAACAAGAGCCCTCACCCTTAACATTCCCCCTTTACTTCTAACCCCCACAGCAGGGGACAGGGGCAAATAGCCAGGTGGGGGCTTGCAGCAGCACAACTTCCCCAAGCCACAGGATCCAAGACCCTGTTCCTGGGAGCTCTGTATGGACTCATAGGGTTTGCTGGCCACATCCATGTCCCCCTGCAAAGCCAGAGATGTTACCAACAGAGGAGGAGTGATGCTCCAAGCATAAATTCTATGAACAGTTCTTATTCTCTCTCTGAAAAAAAAACCAAACTCATTTAAACATCAGTGATGTTGTTAAACCACCATGATCTGCTTGCCTATAAGACAGAACTTCGAGGCTGCTCTCCCATGACCGAGGTGTCCCTGCCTGTGGCAGGGGGGTTGGAACTTGATGATCTTAAGGTCCTTTCCAACCCTAACTATTCTATGATTCTATGACTTACCCTAAATGGCGACATGTATGCCCAAACGCTTCTGGTTTATGCGTTCAGGTGGAACAGCATTTGACTGAGAGGGATCAAATCCCCATCCTCTGCTCAGCACTGGCAACAGTAAGTGGAATGATGAAGTTGAAACACCTATCTTGAGACAATCCAATTTGGAGGTTTTGCCTCAAGCAGATGAACATCTTGCCGTTGTATGGCCTTTCAGCCAGTGGTATATCAAGGTCAGATGATGCCAGGGAATTTAATAAAAACCATAAAGTATTTCTAAATCGGTTTCACACAACAGCCTATTGAAATTGGATATAAAGTCTGACGCACTGTAATCTTCATACATTTAATGGATTTTTCCACACTCCAGTTGGGCTCCACACCAACAGGAAGGTTATTTTCCTCAGTGAAGATCATTAACAATTCATATGCAGCAGTTTCTACCATATGTGGCTCGTCAGCTGACTGCCTTGATCTGTTAACCAGGCTGGTGGTGAGCTGCTTCTAACTTAAATGAGGAGCACATTATTTTATACTTTTAGTAATATTTCAGAGAATGATACTAAAGTCATTTGCTGTGAAAGAAATGATGCTTTTATTCAGGAACATGGTTGTTTAATCATCATCTATTTAAGTGTGTTGTTCACTTTTTTCCCTTCTCCTGTATGCTCGCGGGGGAAGAACGAAATGTGGGAGGACATTTGCAAGACATAAAAAGCTTCAGAAGTTTCCAATTGGTACCATGCACTGATAAAACCTTTTTTCAACTGGTTAGAAAACGACCAGAGAGAAAGAAGGGGGAAATCCATAGTAAAGAATAGTTTTCTCACTTCCAATCACTGCTTAGGTCACTGAGAAAGGTATGGAAAAGTCTCTTTCCATTCACCCAGAGAAAATGCTGGGGTTTAACCAGATACTTGAGAAAACTTACAGATTTCAAAACATTTTTCTATATATGTCAGCACTATCTCTATGGCACTTCCTCCCTACACTGAATCACTATTTTGCAAGTATCCAATTTTTGGTTAAATATGAGCAATTAGAGGAAACACAGGAAAAGAGAAAATCACGATTCCACATCAGCCTTATGCAAAGTTACAGTTACTGAAACCAATGAAGTTATTATTGTGTGGAGTGAGAAAAAAAATGTGTGATACGTTTCTCTAAGCTGCTTACATTCTGTGCCCAATCTCAGGTGAAAATACTCTCACTGACATACAAGGCCTGGTCAAGCCCTACAAATTTGTCAGTTAATGACGGTATCCCTACCCCTCCAGCCAAACACATGCTGAAGTACCTGCTGAATTCTGGCCTTCTGTTGTACTGAAGGGTACTGACTTCAGGGTACTGATTTCACCTTTTTCCATAACACATATAGTTACAGACATTTATTCAATGAAATTATACTTTAAATGTTCATTTCAAGCCTGTTCATCTCAGAGTCCCAGAGCAGTCTAGATGTACCACACAAGCAAAATGTACTTTTTCAAGGAATAAAAACCTCTGCAAAACAATGCACCAAGAGAAACCACTGCATCCACACAGTCGGATGGTTTGGCTCAGAACATATCTGTTTTCAGGAAACACGGAGAGATTAAATATGACCTTCAGTTATTATGTCTACCCTCCAAGACTCCTAATCCTACTGTGAAACCTGTATCTACTTCATAAAAAAGGTAAGCTGAATTATTCCAAAACCAGTATTTAATGGTTTCCGCGCTGACGGGAAAACACAAAGAGCTCCTAAGCTATATAAAGATACCGCCAGAAAATATGTAAAGGAATTTTGGCCATTTTCCTATAACATTCAAACAGCCAGAAATACAACTTTTACAAACACAGCAGAGGGCTATAAAGAACTGTTCCAGTTGTGTTTGTTTTGAAAAGAAACTTGTTTTAAAATAAAACTTATTTGTGCACTTGCAATCAGAAAGACGAAGAAAGCTCTGCCTCAGGCAGCTCTAGGGTTCTGGTCCTCACCTCTCATGCAGGTTGGTATCAACCTCCACATGCTCAACGTGCTCAACACCCTCATTTTTCATTTGCCTATGGGGATTGGAAAAAAGCTACGAAGCTGAGATGTAATACACAGCATTTTTAGTTCAATACTGCCCCAGAGAAGTCAAACCTGAGGTTAAGATTTTAATCATTTAAGATGCTTCTTACCATGTTCAAGGGACTGGTCCAGAGGTTAGTATGAAGTTGGGTTTTTTTGCCCTAGATACCAATAGAGCTATGGTGATACCAACTACCTACATGTGGTGTTGTTCTAACAGTTTATGGACATAGCTGCATTAACTACCTGCATTTTTCAGGTGTTCTTCTTAGATGGCATCAACAATGAGCTTTACTGTATTACCAAATGTCTACCTTCAAAATATAAACACGAATGCTGACAAACCTGGGAAACTGAACATGATCATTATAGCATAAGTTATGTTTTATGGTACAGCAATAACACAGCATATTGTTAGCAACATGAAATCAGCTTAGTGGTCAAGGGAGAGGAGTTGAAATCAAGTAAGATTCTTTCTCTGAAAAGATGACTTGACAAAGACAATAAACAAGATGTATTTTACAAATGGATTGGCTGATGCTTCCAAAGGCATCAACAAGGCTTAAGTTATTCAAGAGAAAAGATTATAGCAAATAAAAACTATACTGTTTCATTTATAAATCCTTCTCAATTTCATTTGTAATTAAAGTGGATACTATAATAGACACATGACATATAAGAAAGTCTCTTCTGGCTTTATTTGTGGAAAACTGAAATCCTGTTCCTCTTTTTTAACAAACCAAATTAAAGTAAGATTTCTGTTCCAATAAAACAGCACTGATCTGTGAAAACGGTAAGGCAATTGCTTCTTTTTCTCTTAGCACTGAGATTTATTTTCAGTTTGATTGAATATTCAGGAAACATTGAAGGATTTCAGTGGGACTGAAGGACAGAAGTCAGCCAAGAACTGGGGGCCAGCTTCTACAATGGTTTCATGGATTTGAGATTTCCTTCCTGATGGATTGATGTTGATTTTAAACCCATTTAGAATTAGGTCTTCTTTTGTCCCTACACAGCTGAATAGCTTCAATTACAGCAGCCATCAGCTTCTGAGTTGGAATGAGTAGCGGCAAATGGCAGAAGACTATCTTGATCATGCAAACAAAAGCATGTTTAAGTAAGATATGATTAGTACTGTGAAAAATGGAAAAATGTGAGCTAGAGGAGGCAATATTTTTACAGGTAGCCAACCTCCAAAGGGAAATTCCATCCTGAGGTCTTAGATAATGTGCCTGGTAACAAAATTATGCTTATTGAGTGAATTTATGAAGCCTCCACACCTTTATGCTATACTGTCGCAGTATTTGTAAGATCTGATTCACTGATGCCAAGTGCAACCCCCTCTGCTTCAGCTCACCAGCTGAAAACACATCCCCATGACAACCCAGGAAAGCACAACACCCAACCTACTGCGAAGCAATGCTGAAGCCCTCCTCCAAAGTAGGAATATGCCAACACACAAGAATGTTTTCTCTTGCTGCTATGGGGCTCATACATGTGTGGGTCACCCCAGATTAGAAAACTAAAATGAGAATAGCATTAGGTGCATGCCAGCAACCTTAATACTCAGCTAACATTTTAAGTTCAACAGTGACATTACCATTTCTGCAACCTAATGTATTACTTGTGTGTGTGAAGACTGGGGAAAAAGGTTTCTTAGCAGCCCAAATGTCTATACCCTGCTTAAGCAGAAACAACTACCAACCCAAACTTGCAGTACGAATCCATTATACCTTAGACCAGGGAAGCTGGTTTTCCTCCTCAACAATGCACAAAAGAAGCCTGCTAATGGTGGTAAGGTTTAAGTTGAACAAAACATTAGTTCTACAACTGCATTTGTCTAGATCAACACTGCAGACAGATTATATTAATTTCACCACTAAAAGCAAAATAATTAGCTGCATTTATCACAAATGACACCAAGCACTGTGTACCTCAGCAGTTGTACTGCCAGTTCAATTATTCTGCCTCTGTCTCTTACATAAGCTCCACTTTGCAGCTCCAGGTGATACAAGAAAAACCCAAATTCATGTCACTTTGTAATCTACATCGTAGCACAGAGACAGAGAAAAATATGTTGGGAAAAATCAGGACAATCACCTGACCTATTATTTTGCAGTAGCTCCACTTCAGACATTTCATAAACAGTGTCATCAGCCACTTTGAGCAAGGAATAAACAGGTCTGGCAATCAAAGCTACCAAGCATTGGAATGATGTCTAGTTAAAATATGATTGTAACAAGCTCAAGGTAGTTGGTACTTGTGTGCACTACTTCATCCTCAACATATACAGTAATTAACTCACATGATGAATCCCAACTGAAAAGATATCAAAAGCAATACCTCATTACCTTGAGGCCATGGTGACCTTTCATTCTCGTAAAAAGGCTCCACAAATCCTGTTAAGACAGAGTCCCTTTATTACAAAATTATGATGAGAACATACAATTTGCCATACTTTTTCCTTGACTATTGTTTCCAGAAATTGGTTCTGGAAAACAAATCCTACCAATGTAGTCTTCAGGGGCTGGCTGGCTGTGAGCTCTTCCCACAGAGCATAGAAATCACAATCCATAGTGTTCCGCTGGTATTTAGTGTCAGCTACGCAGAGACAAAGCTGTTGCTGCAGTATTGCGTAGCTATCACTGCTTAGCTCTTAAAAAATTTCTTGTGTTTATAACTAAAATACAAGATTGAAACCTGGTATTTTTTAATCATCTGTCCTGACAATTTGTTCTGATTTGTGTGCACCATACTTCCTATTATTTCTTAATTTGGTAATCTGCTACTGAGTAAGCTCACAGTATTCATAAATTCATGACAATTACACAGTGTAATCAGTGGCAACAATAGTTCTCATGGGGAAATCAGGCTTTAAGTCTTCAGCATCTTCCATATCCCTTATTCCTTCTTTGCCCATATCCATATTCCTCACCTGTCTCATGAGCCAAGGAAAGAATGAGGAGGCTTGGTGGGCTAAAGCCACTTGCAAGAACAGGCTGCCAAAGATGCAATTCAGAGGCTGTAACGGGTTGCAATTCAGAGTGACATTGATAAATACGTGCTCTTCAGAGGCCCTATAGGACACATCATCTTAGAAGCTGACGGGCACCTCAAAACACCTTCCAGGAAGCAGCACATGGACTACACCCACTATTTACCTGCCACCATCTGGGAGCTTCCCCAGCTGCAGGCCATCACTGGGACATGGCACCATGCTCAGGG